GGTTAGAGTTTGTTCTTCAGGTGCAAACAGACAAGCAGCAGATCCCCATCCCTGTTTAATGGCATTAGGCATCAGCACCTTGGAGCACCTTTATGTAAGCACTTCAGTCACCTTTACTCAGGTAAAGCCTTTATTGACTCAGTGTGCCTTCCGCAACGCCTTCGAACAATTAGGAACCCCAGATACTGACTCTTACTGCAGACAAATACCTATCGTTGCTCTTCAAACAGGAATATCACCCTCGTGCTCCTGGTTACTGCAGCCGCTGCAATCCAACCAGGGTGGATATATTTTAACCTGACAGACTTTGAAAGCTCCCTTCCAACAGGCTGACCTTATTCCCGAAATTAGTGAGGGGGAGCACAGGAAGTGTTCATGAATAGAGGAGAACAACAGAATGTTTTTATACGTCTGGTGAATTTCTGTTTCATTAGATTAGGGCGCAGTTGCCTTTAATGTAACTAACGTGTGGCAACCACAGGGTAACCACAGTGAGTAAATCTGTCCTGCAGGAGGAAGCAGAAATGCAGCAGGGTTTGCTTCAACTGCTAGGAGAGAATTGGGCAGCCTTCTCAGTGCTGGTTGCAGCTGGGGGTGGAGGGGAGAACTGAGAATACACTGGTAGTGACAGCTGAAAACAGAAATATCTCAGCAGCAGCGGGTGGGGAACCAAACAGGTCCCAGCACCCTGTCACTGCTCCCATCCGTGCTCCTGATTTGTTCTGGGTGGGAAAAGCAAAGCAACAACCTGATAGGCTTTGCTCTTCAGGGAAAGGCTTGAGGTGGTCTTCATATATTTAATAATAGCAGTTTACCATTACATGTCTAGATATGCACACATTTACATGCAAAAAACATGCAAGCTAGAGGAATCACAAAGCTGGGAGAACACAGCCGGTTCCACTATTCTCCCATATTCCCACCAGGAATGCAGCTCCCTTGCTTTGTTCCCCAGGCAGCCCAGAATTTAACAGATGTCCAAAGTAAATCACGATCGTTCTGTAGGTTTTGGGAATAGAAGCTAGATGGAAAAAATCACGGTCTAATAAAGCATGGCAATCAAAAGAGTTCCAGCACACTCCTGGTCGTTTCCAAATAAATTAGGGTATCTTTTAAATCTCTGCACAACAGTTTATATTTCAAATCAAAAGGCTGTATGTCATTGAATTTCCCCTGAGTAATCTAAGTGAGAGGGCTCTCTGAGGTGCGGTAATAGGATGTAAGCGAAGAAGTGGGTATTATTTTACCCGTGCTGTGATAATCTGAATGCACCACTGCCCAGCATCATAAACAGTGGAGTGAGAGGTATTAACAGCACTTTCAAAAGCCATGCATTTGGGGATTGTCTAAATAGGGCTGAGGGGGCAGAAGGAAGGGGAAAGCAAGAAGATCTCCAGCAACAGGGAATATAAGCATTTAAGCTAAAGCACAGATAACATAATACCGCTTAAAATCTGAAGAACAGAGGGAAATTATTAGAGCTTGCTTTTCACCTAAGACAGCAAAAAGCAAGGTAGCAGCAATGTCAAGAAAGAGTGCAGCTCTTAATAATCAGCATCGCTTTAAATATGATCTGGAAGTTTTGCACTGAGACACTATAGTTAAGAAATCAAAGCTTACCAGTTACCATGTGTCTGGAGCAGAGCAGGAGCCTGTGCTGTAGGATCTCCTGCACAAAGCCGTGCTCACTGCTGAAGCTGGGACAAGGAAAAAAGTAGCCAAGCCCTCGCACACCACACATTTGCCCCCCAGGTCACGCACTGCTTTCCTTCTCCTCCCCAGCCAGGTTTCCTTCCCCTGTCTCCCCACAGCAAGCCCGGCCAGCCTGTCCCACCACCCCACAGGGCTGCAAGGCACAGGGCTCACAGCCTGCTTGCTGCAATAGGGTTGGGAAGGGGAACATGAGCCTTGGAAATGCCACTTGCACTGCCTGGGGTGTGCGGTGCCACCAGCTGAGCGCTGCCTTATTCAAAGGAAGCCTTGGCTCAGATCTGCACTGTGCCTGAACCAAGAAGGGCAAATAAATTATTTTTAAGGCAGGAAAACAGAAAAAGGGATCATTACATGTAATTATTTTTAAGGACTGTTTTAGCATTGCTTTCAATGTCAACTGCACAAGTTAACTCTACATGAAAAAAGGACACTCAGGCTTTTCCCATTGGGGGAATTTGTGAGATTCTCCCACACCAGTTTGCTTCCAGCAGAAAGCTGGACTCACCTAGCTGCAGCAACAGCAGCCCTCCCAGAGACACGCAGACCCTTCCCAAATGGAGACCCCTTCCCCTACCTCGAAACCCAGGCCATCAACACCAACAGCACCAGGAGAGGCCCCGGGGGTGCAGGGGCCTCACAAATGGTGCCCAGGGGAAGGACACAGAGCTTCCTCCCCCACCTCTACCCTTTCCAGACCAGGGGAGGGCTCAAGGTGTCAACAAGCCAGCCTGGGTCCTCCCAAGCACAGCAAGCAGGTAATAACAAAAATGGGAGATGACCCCATTTCTCATTGTAATTACCCAGGATCCCCTTGCCAAATACAAGTGAAACAGCAAGTTTCACCCATAGCCTGTGTTCAGAGAAGAAAAAAGCAGCAACTTCCTGGTCTGTGAGAATGCTCTGCGCTGGCCCAGACATGACAGGGGTCAAGGAGCAGAAGAGGTACCAGACAAGGCAGGAAATGCACCCATTGCTCTGCACCATACCTAGAGACAAGGTGACAATTGATAATTACATGGAACCCACACTTTGAATGCGTTATCCATCATGACACCTGGAATTGCTGCCACAAAAACTGCACCAACAGTATGTTGCCCTATTCAAACCTCCTGCTTTTCTCCAGGCTACCCTCAGTTTAATCACAAAACAACCACCAAGTCTTATGGGCTTACATTTATCTGCAGGTCATTCCCATTTAATTTCCCGGGTTTGCCATTTTTCTTGAGCCTTCCAAGGAGAAGGTGGCTAACCCTCCATAAGATGCACCAGCAGGACCCAAAGAAAAATCCAAGTGCAGCTTCAGTGGGTTTTATACCTGCACTGAATGAAAACCCTCGTAGACTGATACGTGAGTTGCTCCCGAATTACTAAGGGTGATTGGATGTGAGAAAAATAATAGCTTTGTACACCAAGCCAGCCCTCCTTTGACTCCAGATGCAAAATTACCATTTTTCTGCTGAAAGGGTGATTTCATGCCATAACTTGCATGACTAAGGTTTTCAGAGAAGACTTTTGTTTAGATAAGGACAAGAGATGCCCTGAGGCTCGTATTGTAATGTTATATGGATATATAGATGGAGAAAGAAATTTTTGTTGGGCTGAGGGAGTGGTGAGATTTTTATCTGCATGATTACTTACTGACAGACACTGGGAACGGCGAGATTCTTTTTGACCTTTCCTCACCCCTGCCTGGCTAGAAATGCAGCAGCCAGCCTTGCTCTGCAGCACCTGGGTACCGCGGGCAGCCTGAGCTGCAGCTGGTTTCTTGGGGTGCCCACCTTCCTTCAGCAGGTCACTGCTGTCCTCAAAAGGGAGCTGTTGTCTGCCTGAAATCTGATCTACAGCTCCAGAGGGAAAAAAAAAAAATAAAAAAATCTGGAGCTGACAACAGTCCCAAAGGAAAACGGACAACAGAACAGCTTCTGTGCTGATATTTTTAACAGCTCCTGGGATTTGCCCTCTGCTTGCATTATTAAATAAGCTTGCAATTGCAGCGCTTTCGCTGTACTTTCAACCTCCAGCTAGAGCAATCTGCATTACAAAGCAAGCTGCACAGCTCCGGGTACAGCACTGGTTATATGGTCACCAGGAAAGCAGCGTGCATGCTGATGCTCTCCCTTGCTGGCTGCTCCTGCGGTGGGTGCAGTGCCTTCGTTAATGCACGACAACTGGTGGTTTGATAGCAAGCGGTGCTGCAGGGATGTGATTAACTCTCAGGGTGCTTCGGGATGTTGCTGGAAACTTTGTTGTGTCTTGTCTGAGGCTATTCATTATTCTTCTTGCCTCCTACTTGAGACGGTAGATAATCTCAGTTCAGATTATTAATTAGATGTAGAACTCCATATCTCAATCTAGAAATTGAGTTCTCAGCAATTTCTGAACCCAAGAACAAGAAATTGGGTGGTTTTGACTCAGTAATGTCTAAAATACTCACCGAAAGCAAAGCCAATAGCGGTAGCTACAAAGCCTTTTCATCCACAGATCTCAAACCAATTTAGAAAATGAAAAAGTTGTTCCCATTACACAGACAAGAAAGGAGAGAGGAAGCTGCTTGTTTTCAAGGTATGACGTATAACCTTCAACTTCTACTGGGAGAAAGCTGCAGTAAGGCAACTGAGCAGGACACATTGCCTCCCCTGCTCCCATCCCATATCAGAAGCCCAAAGCTTGTCCCTGTGCCCAAGTGTCATCCCAGGCTCAGCCAACCGACCCTCCAGCTTCAATGCAGACGGACAACAGCCCACTGCTTCAGTGAACCTGCACCTAGAACAAGCAGTGCAAATGGTATGGTATTTCACAATACTGACCATCATAATTTTGTGATGGATAATGTCAGGAAATACTTCACTTTGCCCCTGTCTATCCAAGCTTCAAGACAAAATTAAGCTTTCCTCTGAGCAGATAAATATCAAAAAAATACCCTATTAATTCAGGTAAATAGGGTAAGTAGAAAAATATGAAACTAAATATAAATGTAATTTTTTCTCTATCTCTGAAAGGTTCAAAAACATTAAAGAAATATTTTCCATCAAGTTTCATTGCTGACTACATCTAAAGAATCCCCTTTCAGCAAAAGTTGGCAGTTTGAAAGGTTTCTAAGTGGTGTTTTTTTTCCTACTTTTTACTTTAAACCATCTATGATACAGCACAGAGTCACAGCATCTGTGTTAAGGGGATCAAAGCTTCCATTACTTTAAGCTTAAAATTCTTCACACTTTCAGCCTTATCCTTATTCAGCTACAGGAAGGGAAGTAATATCTGTCTTGGATTTTACTCCGCATTTCAAAATACCAAAACCATCCAAACAAGAGCTGCTTGTGTACAGTGCAAAGTCTTTGTTTTGACTGGCACCCAGGAGGAATTATGACATACTATCATCAAAGCGAACTCTGCAGATTATGGGGTAAGCAAAACAAGTTCTCTCAGTTTTCCAAGTTCTCATGATATAAACATCTTTTCAATTAAGCAGGTAAAATATACAGGAGTTACAACCTTAGAACCAAGGTTGTAACTCAGTTAAAAAAAATATTTCTATCCACACAGATGTTTCCTGAGCACGTGAAAAGCATATGCCATTTTACTACGTATATATTTCAAAATGATCTGATTTTCATGTATATACACAATAGCCATGCTCACACTTACTTCCATGTCAGTCACCTGTATGCACAAATGCACTCTACTGTAGGGGAAGAATCTACTCCCAATGCACAAGACTGTATGGGAACTAGGAAACTGCCATGCAGCTCCTCTTCACAGTAACTCTCATATTTCTGTCCTAGAAAGAGGTGCAGTTGTGAAGCTTCAAAAAGCTTGAGAAGCAAATTAAACTATTAAAGGTTCATTAGCCTTAACACAGTATGGAAAACTTTGAGATATTGGGTTTTTAGACACATTTCTTCAGGAAGAAAAAAAGTGACACAATGGCTACATAGCTTTAAGCACATTAAAACAATATCAACTAGAAATATTCCTGTAAATTTCCTTAAAAAAATATTAAAACTTGGAGGATGCAACAAACCAATATGACCCAGACACTGCAAAATAAATACCAGGCGCGCAGACAGAAACCAAGGGCCCTGTGAAAGTCATCATCTCTTTGTACAGCACATCAGCTTGACAATATGACTAGGGCCAAAAGAATAACGTAACAGGTAAGGACAAAGAGTTAAGGTTGTTAGCCAAAACACAAATAAGAAATACCATATTTTCAGAAGTCTGGTTTTCATCAACTTTGACCTCAATTGGTCGCTTGCCTCTTAAACATTTGCTTTTCATAATCCCATTGTTCTTACAAAGCTCTTTTAAAGTCCTCTAATCGATGTGTATTTGTAAACCATACAGGTCCTTTGTTGGAGCTCCCATTCTAATCTGGGAACTTTAATTTTCAGAGCAGCCGATTCCTTAGTGGTGCAGAAGCATCAAGATGAAGGTTCAGTGAACTCAAGGTCAGTAAGTCATGCATTTCTTTTGACTAGCATTTGTTCTCGACAAGCAAGCTGCTCACAAATCCCTTTTGCAAGTTTAAGGCTCTGTGTAGCCTGCAGAGACAAAATTAGAGTATAAACATCTACTCACTAGAGAAAACAAGGGAGTTATTGTCACTGTAAAGAAGGAGACATCTAAACCATACCCCCTCTGCATTAATTCCATTATTGTGCACAGGCAAGCTGACAGTTATACCACCGAGTAAACTGCAGTTATCTAGTCAAATGATCATTTAATGTTCTTTATTTTACTTTTTCTAAAGAAAATTGATTTCTTGCTATTTATGTTCAGGGTATTTCATTGTGCTGTGATTATAAACTAGACTGAATGCATTTCCACTGGCTCCCTGCAAAGTGTGTTTTACAATCCTTCCTGTTTGTACAATGCAAGACGTCTTCTTTAATTGCCAGTCTTTTTTTTTTTTTTTTTTTTTTTATTAAATAGGATGCTTGGTTGTTTGTTTACTCAGAAGCTCTGGAAGAGCCAAGGCTGGTCTCCAGTCCTTAGACATGCTGCTATGAGATATGGAAGGAAATATCCCCAGTAATGATGTCTGCTATGTAAATAACAAAACTGTCTACAGGTCATTAAACTCCATCAAGCCTTTGCAGAAATTTAAAATTTGACTTGCAAGGACAACAACTAGGACAGACTCTGGGACATAATGGTCTCTCCCCTCACATCAGATGCCTCCTCCCAGCAGCAGGGACAGAAACCCGCATGGCCACAGCTGGAGGAGCGCTCAAGATCCTTTCTCCCACACGTCTGATTATCCCATTGGGATTTAGGAGCACCTCTCTACTGCACAGGAATAATGTGAGATGATGAGATGAAGACCTACAGCAAATGGGATGGAGCTGATGGAAAAGCAAGGCACAGCCAAACTCGGCAGCAGTGATGTGCAGGCACCAAAACCCCAAAGGTCCCGCTGCCACTCAGAGCCGAGAGCAGCATCCCTGGCGCAGGAGGCAGCGTGAAGCTTCACGGGGGATCTTCGCTTCATGCAAGCTGCCTCGCCTCGTCTTTGAGGGGGCTGCGAGGAGAAGAAGGGAACCCTTGCCTGAGAAAGTGCAAACCTCCCAGCTCCCCTCCAGTACTGCTCATGCAATCACTTCAGCCACCCCCGGCTCGAGAGCTTTTTAAGGACAGGCATTTAGGCACAGGTTTTGAAACACGCTCAACATCCTGTGATTATTTCCCCCCCTCCTTTCCTTCCCACACCTCAGTACGTAAAACCTTACTGCTGTGGAAATAAATGTGTGAAAATCAATCGGGGACCTTTGCAAGCTATTAAAAACCTAACATAGCATTACAGGTTTACCACCAGCCGTTAAAAAGAGGCTCTCTATGAAACTGTGTGGGAAATATTCCACATGACACAAGGATTTTGACAGACATACTGAGTAGTTTGAATAATCCAGCAACTATTTACCTTGAAAACCACAGTCACTTTCACAAACACGTAGCTCTATAAATATTATTTTACTGCTGATGTTTTACTATCCTTTCTTGGGAAAACTATCTCATGTAGAAACATTTGGTTGGAGGGAGGGGTCAAAATTCATCGTAAATACCAATTGTTAAAAGACAAACAAAGAAAAGTGTAGGGTTTTGTTCCCACCCACTCTCAACTGCCTGCTTCCCTCGTCTGCGATACAGTTCAGTGCTCCTCAGATACGACGAAATCGCCGTTCTGCTGCTGGCTGCTTGCAGCCCAGGTGTGCAACAGGGCAGCGGGTCAGGAGCCCTCGATGCTGTGGGGTTGGGGCAGGAGGAAGCCCCCGTCCCAGCAGCCTCCCCACCCAACCCAGCACCCCAAGCACTGCTGAGCGCACAACCTGCTTTCAGTGGAAGCTCAGATTTCAGATTTCTGCCTCCTCCCTCAGCACCCAAGCACCTCACCCAGATGCTGTCCTGATCCCCAGACCGCAGACCCAGAGGAGGTGTCCTTTTGTCCGTTTGGGGGCTGGATGCACATCAGAGATCCTACTGTCCTGATTGTATCCCCCAGACAACCCTCCTGGGGGGAGGAAAAAAAAATCAGGAAAAGAGGAACTTGGCAGCTGTAAGCTTGACAGAGCCCACCCCCGCCAGAAGAAATCACTTTCTTGGCCACCCATATAGAAAATTCATGAAACCTCCTGTGAATAGCATGGAAAGAAGCAGTTCAGCAAAAATACAAGTCTCTTCATCAGTACAAGAGCCAGCCCTCTGCCTACAGCAAAAAGTTAGTTCATCACAGCTCAGCTCAACGGGGATAAATCTACATTTGAAAGAATGAAAAGGGAATAAATTCACCTTAATCCAGTCTTGCAAAACCCTGCTCTTGCTCTGGAGACGTAACACACTCAGGCTGGAGAGTTATGGCACCTTTGCAGGACGCATTTAATCAGCAGCATGACCTGACCTGTTCTACAGGGAAAGCCCTTTGTGTACACTTCCCAGCCCTGACCTGTGCCGTGGCTTTGCTGGAGCTTACTCTGTCGTTACAGCACAGTTTTCTGACCCAGGAGAACCATTTCTTTTGTGGCACTGTCCGTGGGCTTTCCCCGTGCTCAGACTCCAGCCAGCCAGGCCATGTTACTCTTCTGGTCACCAAGCGGGACACAGTGATCTAAGTGATGCTTTCAGCTCCCCAGGCACACTTTCTCAATGCATCATCCTTACAATGAGGGCAGCTCCTGCAGCAAGTTACATGTGTTTCCCAAAATTCTCGAGGGCTGCAGCAGGGGCACACCACAACAGCACAGTAAGCTCTGCGTAGGTCTGTACATGCACTTTGTTTTGCAGACAAGTCATTAGCACTGCTTTCTTCCAGGATTAATAGGAAAATCCGAGAGCTGAAGAGTTGAACTTGCAGGGCCTGATCCTCTGATGGTTTGTAGGGCTATAATGAAAGTTTCAGCTAAAGAACATTTAAGACTGTGCTGCACCAGACCCAGCCTCGCTGAAGTCAGCAGGATCTGGTCCACCAGCCTCAAAAGGCCTGAGGGACGTACTGTAGCATTGCATCCAGCAGCCGTGACAGCGGAGCTGTTCCCAAGAGAGGTCCAACACAAGGGGGAAAATGACTCTCCCAGCTTCTCGTTAGTGTTAAGGTGAGATCCTCTCATCTTCCTTGGCCACAGCTCCACCTCTTTCAGGTTTGTGAAGAGGCTCACATTGCTGATGGCACTGAGCTCACACAAGTGTCAGTTATTCTGGAGTCTCTCCAGAGGGAAATATTTTGACAGTCATTCTGTTCATTATTCTTCCGAGAGAGGAAGCACGCACATCGTTATCTGTAGGAATACAGTCAGCCCACCATGCTCTTGCCTGACTGGCTTATTTATCTTGATAAATGCCGGCTAAGATCAGGACTTAGTGCCATTAGATGCGTCTAAAACATCAAGCTGTCATTACCATGTCAGCACCAAGGATTATTTCCAACCGTGATAATGGCGGGGCCACATTTTGAACAAAGACAGATTTTAGTCTGCAATGGCCTACCACACCAGCTGTTTCCCATTACAGCACAGAGACCTTTCACTCACGATTATGAGCTACGCCACCATTATTATTATTATTTTAAGTTGGAAACCAGAAATATCCTCATATTGGACCTAGCAAATGCTTACCTCATGGCTGGGGGCTAGCAGCACTGAAGTCTGCAACAGCTCAAAGGCCTGCTTGATGCAAAGACAGAAGAGCACTTGGTCAAGGAAGGAACTCCAGACTGCAACCAGCACACAGATCCCACACCCCAATCCAATCCTCCGACACCACCACATGCACCTCGCAGAGGCACTGCAGCACAACGCTGGTGCAAGATGTGCCTTCTCCATACCACCTTTCTGACACCAGTTTTCATAGCACAGGCTAGCTCTAAGAAATTTCTTACGAGATGAGAACTCTAATTCGGTCTGACCTGACTGCCCAACATTTAAGCAAAATGCTTAAGAACTTTCCTGCCCAGTAAAACACTTGAGAACAGGGCTTATTTTATAAAAGGTAAGCAAACATTCAAGTTGCTTTCTCTTTCTCCTAGCAAAGATCTGCCCTGCAAGGCAGTAACTTGTGGTTTATTCCCCCCAAAAGCAGCACCTGAAGTTGCATAGTGATTCTGTTCCCATCAGGCTGAGTGCAAAGGATTTCACATGAACATAGATTTATGACTTGCTGCTTGAAAATGTACAATGTCAAGCGTCCCACTGAGTTTTATTGAGTTGGCTGTGGCAGTACCCACTACTCAGAGCAGTATGATCATTTCAGACTTTAATCCTGCCTAATCCTGTTCCACAGAAGGGTTTCGGATTTTTTCCCTTCTCTTTGCCTGACGATTTTGGCATCTAAGCTACAAATATTATGTTGCTTATATTGAAAATTAAGATTAACTGGGCATCTTAAAATTCGGACCTCTGCCGAGCACAAGGCTTGTCTGCGACCCAGCAGTGCCTTGCTCACTTGCCTGCTAGCTCCGTCTAGTCTTGCCTGAAGCAGTTTGGTTCTGCTGCACTGAGAGCTGCCCACATTTTGCTCAGTTTACACTTCAGCTGGTGGCATCTCTTATTTATGATTCATTGTAATGCAAATTGTTTGCAGTTATTCCGCATAACAATACAAAGATTTCAAAAGCTGCAGAAACCATGTGCCTTTTAGTTTGACTTTCTTCCTACAGCAAAGCAACAAGAATTAACTTGCTCTCCCTAAAATAAAACCATTCAGAAAAAAAAAAAAAAAAAAAACACACACAATTAATTCCCCAGTAGGTACCTGCAGCATTAGGTCCAATTTGTGCAGCTGTCTCACTGGCTCTACAGGGTTAACATCAGGTGGAAACTCGCCTTTTGCCGGAATAGGAACTGCCACTTGTAGAGCAGGAGGCTGGGCATCCTCCTCCCCCCGTGGAAAGGAAGTGCTGTTTAGGTGCCCAGCCACCGCAGAGGCTACAGGCACGCTGTGATGCTCTAAATGGAAAGTTTAACATTTGGAAATGTTTTGTTTCCTAAAGAAGGCAATTATGCCTTTATTTTCCCCTGAAAAGGGGAAATGAACCCACAAAGAGCACCAGAGTTAAAGGTGGGACAGCAACGTGATCTTGTAAATAACTGCCAGGGGAGACAGCGCATTGCACACTGTTAATACCCCAACCCTTGGAGAAAAGATGGGATTCCTCAAAACAGTTATGGGCACTGCAGGGTGATAATGAGCTCCAGGGACTGCCAGGGCATCATTTGAAAAACTAGATATGTATCTTAGTAATGCTGTCTTCAGGGCAAGTATAATTACACAAACCAAAGAGAAAAGGCAAACAACCCCAGAGCACCAGCTCCTTGCTCAGAAGATGCCCACTTGGGAACATAAGCTGCCAGCAATACGAATGGAAATTGTTGGTTACTATCACTGCAGTGTCCGACAGCCTCTCCTCTAAGGAAAAGGTGCAAAGGTGTCTTAAGGATCAAGCAGAAGGCTTCAAATGGGAAGTACTTCTGTCTGGTAAGAGCTTCCTAAGCCATGAGGTTGTCAGCCCAAGGTTTCAGGCTCAAGGAGCCGCGAGACAGCTGCAGCCCAGCCTCCCTGGCAAATGTCAGCAGGGTCTGAGCGCTGCCTCCCTTCAGCTGTGAAAACCTTTGAGTTTTGAAGTCTCTCCATCGAGCTCAAAGGGTTCAAGAGATTCAGTGATAGTGGTTTTGGAGCACCCAGATAAAATCTATTCGCTAGGCAATGCAAAGTTGTTCTCACACCTTTGAAGGTGTATTTGGAGAGAACCACAGGAGGGAGGAAGGAGACCCGGCACCTCTGCTGCTGGCTGGGACTGGGGAAGTCAGAGTTCATTTCCCCCGGCTGCCACCAGCTACGAGTCACACTTCCTCTTTCTGCTCCGATATCTCCTCTGTGCAGCCAGAGAGAGACGGGGCTATTAGCAGTCCCCTACCTGCCAGGCTACTTGGAAGTAGCTACTGCAAGCGTGCCGGGCCCCTTGAGCCCTCAACCTAAAAGCGATACAACGCACGACAAAGCAGAACAGAAGGGTGTGCTGTGGTTAACACGCTCCAAAATCATCCCGCTATCATGTGTTGTCACTGCTCAACGACTGAAAAATAGATACATATTTTTATGCTTTGAACTTTCCTCTTTTGACAAAGCATTTTTTTTCCTGAGAATTTCAGAAGGTTTCTACACTCCTCTTACTTTGTTCAAGTGTCCCCTGTGACAACCATATCCTGGAGTGTATTAGAGTTTAAAAATACAGCAGCAAGATAAGCAGTGGCAGGAAGATAGAGGAATTCAGAACTTTGAGACTCAGAAGAAGAGATATTTCTAATCTCTGCTGAAAATATAAGACAAAGTGGATAAGGCAGACAAGCACGAGGAGGCTGTTACAAGCACAAGGAGAGGCTGGAAAGAGGGACGGGAGGGAGGGAGGGGGCAGCTGCTCACCCCAGCAAGCGAGCTTGATAGCGAGATGAGAGAGAGGTCACAGCAAGACAAGCAGAGCAAGCAAGCAGAGCTCCAGAGAGATACGGTCTAGAAGACAGGTCAGGGCAAGTCTCTGTCTATGCTTTGTTCTTATTTTTGGTTTTCCACATACCTTCAAAAGGAGAGATTATCAGATAAGAATTGATGGGGCACCATTAAGACAGAAGGTTTTTCCAGCTCTATTGTGTGCATGACATTCCTTCCCCTCTGGTCTCCAGAGATCTCATACATCTGGGGATGTAATTTGCAAAGCACGCACGCAGCAGAACTGCACAGCAATGCTGCCTTTTGTTAGGAATTTGATCAAAGGTGCAATTTGAAGTGGGTGTTTAATAGCCTCATAGTGTTTCTGTACCATGGGACTGTACAGCCCGGCCTGTAACATACACTTTGTGCTATCAGGAGGTGCTGGGAAGCGTGCCAACGGCCCTCATCTCACCACAAGCCTCTGCCTTCCCCACTGGCGTCCATGCGCTCCAGGATAAAGGAGTCCCAGTCCTTCCGTGGCAGGAGATTCAGGCACCTCAGCTAAAGAACAGTAATTGGGACCAGAGGCTGACTCCTGGGGGCTAATTCCACAGGATGATAATAGATTGGAAGCAAAAGCCTATATCATACCAGCGTCCTGGGAACTGAGGAGAGGTGCAAACAGAAAGGCCAGGTCTTACTGCAGCTCAAGTACCGCGTTTCCAAAGGTCAGGAGAAGCCACATAACCAGACTGGGGAAAAAACTTCTGGGTGCAACAGTGGGACAAGGAGGATCAGCAAGCACGGATCTGTATGATAGTATCACCAGCAGTGCTGCCAAGGTGAAAGAGGACCTGATGTATTTAGCTTGCTGAATACATATTAAGCCACTGGCAGAAGAGATGGGGGTTGGAATGGGAGGGAATAGGATTTCAACTTCTTTTTTTTTTTTGCAGGAACCTACCAACTTCTCCCTTTGTTGTATTTTCTTCCCATTTACCTTGATACTGAATGATCTCTACCAGCTCCATTCCCAAAACATTTTCCTAGTTGTCCACCGTATTCATTACCCTTTGACTATTTATGCCTTGCATCAAAATTACTTTTGACTGCTCAATTGTAAAGACACTCAAGCCCCTGCGTTGCCACATGGACTCAGGCAGACAGAACTGAACAAACTGTCCAACATCCACCTTCCTGCAGGGCTTCTTCAGCTGCCACACAACACCCAGCCACTCTCCACTCCCAACAGCCCACCCCACAAGCTGCTTCCCTCCCAAGGCCACACAAAGGGCACAGGAGAAAGCAGCAGCTCTGACATGGGTAAGCTTAGGGAGCATGGGAAAGAGCCAAAAAGGTGTTAAAGAGACGCAGCAGGAGCAGCGTGCAGGGAAAGGTGATGCAGGACTACAGGGAAGATGGGAGAGGAAGGATACTACAGAGGAAAAATCATGGGGAACATGAAAAGGCTGCTGAGACTGCCCCAGAGGAGGAGAACATAAGAGATTGGTCAGAACTCCATTGCTCATGCAACAGCTCCTCTTATCCTTTAATATTCAGTGCTATTTTATAGCAGCAGGATATCCCTGACTCTTCCTCTGCTTTGGAATGTAAATAGCAGCTGTCTGTGTACTTGGCTGGTGCAGAGGCATGCTGCAGGCATGCTCTGTCTGTGCTGTCAGCAGGGCCTCTCAGGAGGCAGGCGGGAGAAAGCCTGGTTTGTTAATCTTGACAGGGCTTAGGAAGGAGATCAGATTTGAACAGTTCAGCATCAACACGACTTGGATAATTCTAGACATACAGAGAAGAGCTTTAAGTACCTAAGGAACCCTCTTGGTGGTGATACTCAGCCGCTTACAGAGGTAGGCAGGAGCGGTGAGGATTATCCTTCTGGATTTGGAGCTGAAATTCTTCACGTTCCTCCTTAGGCACCTACTCCTGTCTCTGTACCCAGCACTCAAAAAACAGCGTCCCTTTCCCCATCCATGGAACAGCAGTTAAAAATACCTATCAAACCAAAACCAAGCATCTTTGAGCCTTCTTCTTTCTTCATAGTTTTGCTGCTGACTTCACTAGGGTATATCCTAGAGACACAGGCACCAGGGCAAGGAACAAACAGATACAGCAGGAGAAGCCAGGCCAAAACCAAATAGGGTTGCTCTACTTCTGTCCTAGTGAGGTAAACCACAACATTGCTGCTGGCCCTGGGTTCCACCAAATTGACCTTGAGTGCTCAGCTGGGGTGTAGAGGGCTATTCATCATTTCTCCCCCTTTTACTGCAATTTGGTCCCAAGAATCCCTCACAGGAACCTTTTCTGACACCTTCTCTTTTACTAATTACAAATGAGTAGAAATATTAAGATCTCCTTGCTAGAAACCTGAGGATTCCTGCAGAGCTTGTTTCAATGCAAATCTCCTTAGTAACAAAGAAAACTGAGAAAAGAGACAGACGAGTTTCTGCATGGCACCGGAGCCTGCCTTTATGGGGGGTGCTGCCGCGCTGCTCCCGAGACCATTTGGCCTCTCGCACATCAGCTCCCCCTCACTGCCCCTAACTTCCGAGGGCTGCTTCCAAGGGGAATGTTTTTTCAAAGTTCTCAGTGAGGTATCAGCTGTTCTTTAAAGAGATTATGTTGGGAGCATTCCTAGCACATTGACTCCACTGTGCAGCCAGCCTTGAGATTAAATGGCTCAAAGGTGGCTTCCAAGGATAAACTGTGCCAGGGATGACAACATTTCCTCACCAAAGTGGGGAGAATCTAATGAAAAATAAGGATGGAGGAAAACTGCTCTAGCTCTACAGCTATTATTAGTGTCTCAGAGCACTGTCACTGCTTTGCCTGCACTGTCAGATGTCACTTTGCATCAGTTCTGGGCAGCGCACAGAGGAAAAATGGTGGAGCTCATTGAATTCTGCAGTGCACGCCTGGGCTCCGCAGCAGGGCCGCGCAGAGGGTTAAGTGACCTCTTAATGCTGGTGGGAGCACTGCTCAACAAGTTCAAGTGGGCTCTCCAGTAATGTATGCAAGCACCTTTTTGCATAGACCAGCAATTTATAGCAATTTATACCTCCTACCCAGCTGTTCTCGCAATGCATTAAAAAACTACTTACAAATAAGCTCCAGCACTCAGTCCTGTCATCCCCTAAAGCAGCTCCATGCCAAACTGGCAACCCAAATGGGGTTTGGAAAGGGGAAAGGATACACCCAGTGCAGGCAGATGACTGACATGTAATGGATGCTCCTACTCTGGGGCACAAGCTGTGTTGGGAACCCAAGTTTTGGCCTGTAAGCACCAGGCATCACAGCAGCAAACCCAGCAAGAGCACAGCTAAACCCCTACACACACCTTCTCCAGCAATGTGATTTCCCACATTCTTTCTGCTCATTGTAGGATCATCGTTCTCATTGAAACTATTCTTTTCCATTTTTTTTTCAGGGACAAGTTATTAGGATTAAGCCAAGCAACTTTGACTCTTGAAGATCTTAGCACTCAGCAGATGCTGATTTTTTTCCTGCTTTGAGGAAATGCAAGGAACACCCTTTGCACTTTCTCACAAAGAATCCAGATCATAACATGCTCTATGTTTCAGTATTCCTGAGCTGTATGGTTAAGTTCATTTTGCTGACCATGTGGCAATTTACTTTGAACTATATGTACAAGCGAAGTTCATCTGAGCTGACACGAGATCTACACTCATCCTACAGCATTCTCATTACGCACTTAAAGGCCTGCCTTAGCTCTGAACTGAAAGCCACATCCACCAAGAAAAAAAAAAAGTAACTGGTTTTTCTTCTGATCTTAGTCACCTGCCAGCACGCTGTTTGCTGTAGAAGAACACAGCATTGTTAAAGGGTTAGGTAAATGCAAGTTAGAATGGAAGCTTTAGAAAACAAAAAGCAGAAAACCCAGGTGTTAGTGACTTATCACAGCAGCCTGAAATCACACCTTCACATCCAAGCTGCAGACAGATCTTGCATTTTTGAGGTGAATTTGGGGAAGCCAATTTAGCTCCTTTCAAAACATCCATTAGCTATTCAGCACACTGGATGTGACTGGGTGTAATGTCATGCTGACAGTTGCAAGATTTCAGCCAGACTTGTAGATCAGAGTACCTGATGGATTATACTTCTAAGTACCTGCACAGCTCAGAAGCTCAAATTAACTGACAGTACTCTGTCCTACTGGACTGTGCGCTTAGTCACATGGTCTGAACTTTTGGGTAGACCTGTGCGGTGTCAAGAGTTGGACTTGATGATCCTTAAGGGTCCCTTCCAACTCAGGATATTCTATGATTCTATGATTCTATGACTGAATTGGAAAGCTTGGCTTTACGTAAAAAAAAAACCACTTTCATTGTCTTGATTACAGTGACCAGATCTCAGAATATCAAGTGCTCTTCATTAAGAGTGCCTTTTTCCCCAGGACAACAAAAAACAGCTGTGCATACAGACACTGAGATGTAACATTAGGAAAATCAGAGAAAGTCATCTTTGTGCAGACATACCTGATTCACTGGGAGAAGTTCATGCACTGACACACATTCTCTATCATCATCTTAGAAGTGGCAGACAGCTGTGACAGATCCCACAGCTCCCATTTTACTGAGGGCCCCATCCTCTCCATCTGGTGAGCACAAGACAACTATGAGCTGCTGTTGGCCTCGCTGCCTTGAGAGTCCAAAGCTCCACTAAGTGTCTTTTCCCCCAGACCAACTCTGGGACAAACACACAGGGAGGAAGGAAAAAAAAAAAATCAGGCATAAGTCTTTGAGCTGATAAGTACCACTGGAGATCTCTTGGATTAGAAAAGTACAAACACAACAGAACTTAATGATCATCCAAGGATTTAAGTGTGGAAGTGTCTGAAGACCAGTATTAGAACTAAATTCAGAGTCATGCTTGTTTGTTTCCAATTTCTGAATTTAGACTTTTTTTTTTTTTTAAGCAATAATTTCTATTGCCCTTTTCTTTTCCCCCTGGAAAGAAGAGAGCAGTAATGCCTTTTTTAGCTCATTTCCTCTTAGCTGTTGTCTGTGAGGTTTCCAGAGAGACACAGAACTGTAAGCAAATTCTCCCTGACATCAAACCCTTTTCTTTCAGTTCAATCACAGCTAGGGAAGCCTGACCAACAGACACCCAAAAGCTACCTCAATGCCAAGTGTAAAACGGTGCAAAAGGTGAGGAAGTACACAAGGTGCATCAGGCTTCTGCCAGGCAGGAAGCAAATAATTCGTAGAGGTAGTTCCTGGTTACAGAATCGCTGCCCAGCCACAACTATTTCATTAGCATCACTCTAAAGGGTCCTAGGGACTTTCTTTTTGAGGTGTAGGCAATTCAGAGAGCTGAAAGATCACTGTAATTTGGCCTATGAAAAATGAGTAGGTGTTCACAGTTCATTTCCCAATAGAAAAAGTCATGCTCATCACAGAAACCATCATCATGCACAGAACTAATAGCTGCCCTGCTTGGCAGGCACACCCATGCACATTAAAAGCTCACAGTGCACTAGCTTTTACCAAGTAGGAACAGGAGATTTTGGTTAGCAGAGCTCCCAGTAAGGCACATTTTTTTCCCATAGCAGGTGAAAACTATTACGATGCCATAAATAAATACAAACAACCAGAATTAGACTCCTGGAACCACACAACAGATTGAAAACTGGGAAGCATTCCCAAAGAAACCCCTGCTCCCAGGTGAGCCAGAATGAAAACACCCTGAAAGATCAACAGACACACAGAGGAAAAACTCAAGGCTATGGGAACAGGGGCAAGTAGATCAAAATGTTGACCAAGACAAATAAAATATGCTTCTGCTTATCTGGATTAGTAACATCAGCTGTGGTCAAAGGGCAATGGCTAATCAGGACTCACTATTTTCTCACTCATGTTGCAAGCAAAGGAAAGTATGAGGCCTGGGGACAACAGAGCAACCGCGCTTGGGACTCCAACAGCCAGCTACGAGCCTACGTGGAGACTGCCTTAAACCCACACAAAGCTTTAGAAAACCTCAGGGCTCCTCTAGAAGACCATTTAGCATCTGACCTCTGCTTGGATATTGCCAAAATAAACTGAAGTCAAAATTAGACACGGCTGAGTCCAATTTCACCTTGATTAGTATTTACATAACGCAGAGAAACGTGAGAAGGGCACATAAATAATGTACTGTTTGTTGCAGCCCTCTCAGGAGGAGAGTTCTCAGATATGTTATTGATCCTCGTGCATGCACCAGCTCACTGAGCAGAAGGTCCAATCTTCTTCTCCGTTAATGAAAGCAAGTTTCCAGAAGCTGAGCCATCTGGGCTGGGTTGCAGGTTGCTGCTTTACCACACCGGTGGGTCTGGCAGTCAGCTGTGTTCTGGATAACAGCCGCATATGGAGAAAATGATGGGGACTTTCCAGATCCGGTTAATTTAGGAGACATTCTGCTTCCTTAGCTTCTTTACCTGTAGTGGACTTGACATTTCTGACAACACTCCTAGGAAACCTAGCTTTGTGGGAAGCTGCTGTGGGGTTTGTCCTCCTGTTACAGCAGCACCACTCACCCACCCATTCTCAGTACCGGTTGGGGGACAGAAAGCAAAACTGTTACCTAGAAAGACTCAGCACCACCACTGAGGCAGCCTGACAGTACAGCATTACTCAACAGCCACAAGGAGAGCGTGCCACCCGTGAGAACGAATTGCGAAGGGTTTCTCTTCCCTGTTCTCATTCTCTTGCTGGAGGAAGGGTTCAACTTCACATCCAGTCCATGCAGTTAAAGGTCTGGGGCATCCAGACATTTATATTCTACCCCTTTTGGCAAACAGTGATAGGAAAGTAATTTCCAGACTTCCTTTGATTTGGAAAGACATTTCCAATGCTACTTAGCTTATTCCGCCCTTACCAGACTTCTAAAAGTTAAAAGAAAAATGGCAAAACAAATACACCACAAACCCTCACCACGCTGCTCCTGAAAGCAGCTCAAAGCAATGGCTGCACCTGGTCCTGGCCCGCAGCTCGTGCAGACCCTGGTAAGCCATCTGCAGGATTTCAGCCCACGTGAGGGAAACGGGTCAAGTGGCAGAACTAACAGGCAGCGGGAACCTGCAGCACACCGCTGCCATGTACAGCCATAAGGCAAAGTAGCAGAGGATATTACAGCTGGTGAAAGAGGCAAATCAAGCTTCAGATCTAAAGTGCCCAACACAGCAAATATCCTCTGATAAGGGACTTGGACTGAGGCAGCAGGAGCGGCAGCCGTAAGATTCAGCATTACTATTTTCCTGATGCTTCAATGTCTCAAGTCTGCAGCAATCGAATGTCACTCTCAAGCACACTGTTAGGAAAGATTGCTTAAAATTAATTAGCTTAGTAACAATGGCCTGTCATTATGCTACTAAGTCACCAGCATGAGCACATAAGTTACATTGACAGCTCAGGGTATAAAATAAGTACCATTGTATTGAAATTTGCAAAGTGCCTAGCAGTCAAATGCCAATCTATTCACTTCTGGTAATATTGCATAGTTTCTTCCTAATAGGCTGCTCCAAACTCCCACACGAAGATATGACTGACTTTACTACAGAGAAGTCTTTCTACTTCATACACTGACCATGCCCGATTTTAGAAAGCTCTTAAAAATGTGTTTATTTGTACAGCGCTGATTCATTCAATGTCAAGTTGAATGTGAGATTTAGAATCTGGCATTAGAAAAAGCAGTGGGAAATGGAAAAAAAAAAACCTCTTGGATGCCATAAAGGTGCGCGATAAACAAAAGGTAAGGCCTGAGTTCTGAGGGGCAAGAACATCAGCAGTCCCCACATTCAGCACTTTGTGAGACTTCCCCAGAAGAGAAGGAAATAGTTATTGCTATAATTATTTCATAGTTCCAGTCAGCTGCTTTCAGTTGTACTGTTATATTCCAATGGCAGGGAAATGGAATACAGTAAACTATAAATATCTGTCAGAATTCCTTTGAAAGGACAACAGTTAATTGCATAGCTTGATCTCCTGCCGTGCAGAGCTTGCATTTCAGGTTAGAAAGGTACAGATTGTTATTGATTTAATTCTCTTGAAACGTGTAGTATAAAACTGTTCAGAAGACTTATGGGGGAGAAATATATGCTTCCAAAGGAAGTCCTATAGTACAAGATTGTTGCAGGCTACCTTCTTGTGAAATGCTTTCTGAAATTCAATACACCCCCCTTCTAAAGGCTATCAGTCCCCTCAAATTGAGGTTCTTTCCTTCCTTCACAGAAGTGAAATTAAATCAGTGAATCAGGTGAAGAACAACAGAAGATCAGCAACAGTACGAGGCACATGCAAAGAAGTAGTTAAGAATAATTCAGTATCTACTACACACCCGCTAACAGTGACCCACTGAATCTTCCCTCATCCCCTTTCATATACCTTCCAAATCTACCTCGCTTTTTAAAATGATTCCAGGCAGTTAATTCAACATCTTTCATCATTATGTCCTCCTAAATATCCTTGAATCCATGTCTGATCTAGCTCTTGCAAAGTCAGTCTGAGCCCTCAAAGACACCAGAACACGTAACTGGAGCAATTTGTTAGGCCTTGTCCATCCTGGGAATAAATTCCCCATTATAGCCATTGACAATAGCCAGGGTGAAGCCCTGCTTAACATTTGCCCAGCTCACCTACTTTCCATGAAGGGTAACTTGACCCGGTATAAATTATGCATCATTGTGATTTTGCCAGTCTACACTTGGGTTTTAGCCTGCTGCTGCTTCTCAGAGCTAAAACCCCCAGCACAGAGCAGTCTCTATTAGCAAGTCACCTAGCAGCTAGCCAGCTCCTCGCTCCCAGGGATTGTAATTAAGACAACACATCTTCCCGATGGTTGCTTCAAAGAGACAAACCCTTAATGGAGGGAACGCTGCAGAAGTGTTTTAGCACCTGTTTATCATAAGTAGCTGACCACGTGTTAAGTTATATTTGCTCTCCCTGACAGCCTTTATTAGGAGATCTCTGGAACTGGTGGATTGCCAGACATACTCTCTCCAAGATGCTCTTAACTAGAACAGAAAAACACGTTTAAAGCCTTAACTTTCAGGTTTCCCAGGGTTGTTTCTTTAAGGGAACGTTTTTCTTAGACTATTTGATGATTGATATTATAAACAGATTAAAAATAAACTCTATTTTAAACAAACGCAAATAGTAAAATGAGCACAACCTGTAACGCACTTGTAAAAAGAGACAGCTTCTACCCAGGGAGGATTCCCAGCAGCTGTAACGGCTGCCCCTAATAAAGCTGAGTTGATTTTAACTTTTATCCACCAATAAATGCCACCTACACATTACACGTTGTGTGCTGCAGAGGACGGCTGTACAGCAGCAGCATCCTAAAAGCAAGTAAAAGAGTCATTAAATAGATCACTGAGCCCAACAGGATTTAGGCATACCTAGTCAAGCAAGACATAGTACTTAGCTACTGAACACTGCGCTGCAGGCTTGCTTCTTTTTCCCCTAGACTTTACCCCTAGGAAGCAAGGCAGCGCATTCGCTGCAGTGCTCACAGCCTCCTGAAATCTGACCCATGCCTATGCAAATCCCCAGGCAGAGAGCATCAAACCCCAAAGGGCTGCAGGCAGGAGGCAAGGTGGCCCCATGGAACAAGTCCTGCAGCTGGAACCCGGGAGGGCAGACAGGCACAAATACACACAGCAGCTTCGGTAGAAGGGTGGGGAAGGCTCTACTGAGATGAAGTAGGCAAGAAGGAATCTCTGGAAGAAGAAGAAAAAAAAAAGAGAGAGATCTGAGATAACAGATAGTAACAGCAGACAGGATGCAAATGCTGAGTTTTTTTCCAGCAGTTTTACCACACAAGATCTCAGGAAGCACCAGTGCACAGGTGAGCAAATAGGCTGTTACTGAGAGAAATTGTGAGAGGAACCCTGTGCTTCTCTGTTCCTTAGTTTCCCCAGCCTAGAGTAAGCCCAAGATAATAGTTTTCTTCCTAAAACAATTTCAGGAGCTAAGTAGAGCACGCATGGTCAGACAAAATTAAGCTACTGTTATTATTTATTACCTTCTCTCACCCATGACAGAAGATGAAAAAGACATTTTTCTTGAAGAAAAGAAGAGCATTACAACACCTACTGTTCAACTGCAACCCATAAGCATGTAAAATATTAATATTTGGTTATAAAAAAAAAAAAAAAGATAAACTCCTTACCACCCACCCCTTCTAAAATTCCCCCTCCATCCTTTAATTCCTTAAGTCCTTGGAATTCAGGCAGCCAGCTCCGTCCTTACGGCAGAAAGGCTGCGGGCACCGGAGCTCCTACAGCTGCCCCAGAAGGGGCTGCTTTGCAGACAAACCTCCCCCCCCCCCCCCCCATTTTATGCTTTCTCAGGCCAGCAACTTCACCCTGGTGTCAGCATATGGAAGCAGTTAGCAAAGGAGGGGAGGGTCAGGTCCAGCCATCCGTGCACTGATTGCAAGCACACGCTTTCTCCCTAAGGCAAAAAAGTGTACTTGAACCTTTTGAAGCAGATAGGCTGGAGCTGATTTATTGGGGTGATTTAGATCTGTTAAAACAAATTTAATTTTGAATACAATTTTATATCAATTAACAGAGTCTCACAAGTGTAGCCATTAAGGATTCTCTTTCCAAAACCAAAGCCAAATATTCAAGATTTATGAGACTGACTTGCCATATTGGAAGTAACTAATTATTCGTAATGATTCTTTGTACTCTGACAGTGATTATGTATTTTCACTGCAAATGCCCACGATGAAGCAAGTGATAAAGGCAGTCCATGTTTGCAGAAGGGATAACAAGCAGCTAAGGCCTGATCATTTTGGCAAAGTATTGGGGTAGCAAGAGAAGAAACAACATAAAACAGCTAAGCCTGGTGACACAGAGCCCAGTTTATTTAACGTCCTGAAGTATGTTCTGGTGCATGTCAGAATTGTAATAAAAGCCTGTGGTCTCCCTTTATTGCCTTAAGCAATTCTGTATTTGGTTTATTTATTCTGACCTTTTGGTTGTCCTCCCACCTTGGACATGATAGTCTT